GGCTCAAGGAGAGTAACTCTTATTTTCCTTTTGTATCCAAAATTGCAGTGCACATTCTATTATAAAGTAGCTTAAAATTGGGTGGCATTAAAGTTAGCTTCTGTGGAGGACTTTTGGTCTGGCCATCATCACAATAGCTAGGGAGGGGTAGATGCGATAGGCATCAATAAACTACAGAAGAACTCAAAATTGATCGCTGCATTTAAGTATTGAATTAATGTTTAAGCTTGCCTTTTAAAAGTTCAACGATAATGCTTCTGCTGTCACTTAATTTAAAGACGATTTGATGTATGTAGATCCTTATCTTCCATACAAACGATTATTTTTATTTTGTGGGTGACAGAACAGGGGACAATGTATAAGACAAAATTAATATCATGTAAGGATGGGAAAACAGAAATTAGAATTAGTTATGCATTCAACATTAGAAGAGTTTGAGAAACATAATAGCTAATTAAGTAAGACCTATATTATGGGGTCTATATGAATAAATGCAAAATTGGAGCTAAATTATCCAGTGAATTCAGGGGTTAAAAAGAAAGCTCCAACTCTACCTTATAATGACTTGTACACGGTATTTACTTGACCACCCACGAGGTCAGGTTGTGACACAAGGTAGGTTTAATGTGGGGAGCCCGAGCGCATGCACCTGGGCAAGGAACAAAAATTCCCCAAGACCCCGCAACCTTCAGTTGCACTGGCCTCGGTGCATGCACCGATCCTTCTCTCTAGTGCAATGAGAAGGCAACTGTTCCCTAGGGCCAGGTAACTCTCAGTATAATTTTCCTCAGTTGCGACTCTGTCCCTTGACAGAGTCACCCCTGAGCACAATCTGCCAAAGGACAGAGACGTAAGTGAGAGATGCCCTGTGAAGGTTAAACTTTCCAAACTTTCCTTCCTCATTATGCATCCAAGGAATTATAGCTGTCTTTCTGAATCTTCTCTCTCTGTCTATGAAATTCTCAGTATCCTTCTGTAGAACCGCATTTCTGTTGTCTCCAGTTTTCTCCCCATCTGCAGAGAGATTGTCCAACATTTGCTGGCATGTAAGCAGACAGATATCCCCTAATAAGCCAGCATGCTTTCCTTTGTTTCTAATGAAATTTTTCTGTTTCTTAGAATGTTGTTTACCTTTCAAAAAGCACCGTTTCCTAATCAGATGTTCATTATGATTTCAGTGTCACATTTTCTATCCAGTATAAATATTAATTTTTGATTAAGTTGAGGCAGACATTGGAAAGATAACAGTGCCAAGACCAAAACTGAGCTTATTGTCCAAGCTCAAAGTTTTGTGTCCAAGCCAGAAGTTTTGTGTCCAATCAGATGTTTTGTGTCTAAGCCAGATGTTTTCTATCCAAACTCCACTCTCCTCATTCCTTAAGTATTGTTCAGTTCAATAAAGATCCATCAGGATCAAGTATATTTGCTTCTGCTTGTACCTTACAGCCATTTGCTGTTCAATAGAGATCAATAGCGATCACTCAGTCTCTTGTTAAGCTGATTCAAGATATATTCCTTTGGATCTTTGATTGAAATGGACCTTGATTTGTTCAAAGATTTTATTGGCAAAGTTTGCTGTTATCCATGGCATTGTTTCGGCAGATCTGATCTTACGAATATCTGCTCCCTGACCAGATGAATGAGAAGATTTGAATTAATTACATTTCATTTATTAGAATTGATAAACCCTTGGCTGACTGATTCTTCTTTATCCGTGAGTCTAGCAATGAGAGCAAATCTATTTTGACAAAAAGAAGACTACATGCAAAGGAAAGCTGGTTTGGTTTATTTTGTTTAACGGCATATCAATCTCAATGGGTTATTTAATGCCGGCAACATTTTTAGTATAGATTCGTATGAATAGAGTATGTATTCTTTGGTTTAGATTGGTTTGGTTTATTTTGTTTTATTGCATATCAACCTCAATGAGTTATTTAATGCTGACAAAAATTTTTATTGCTGGTAATATTTTGTTTTGTCAAAAATGTGTTTCTGGTAATATATTTCCTTCAAAATTGTATTGCTGGTAATAAATTTTTTCAAAAAAGTATTGCTGGTTATAGTTAACTATTTACCCATAGATAGGACCCTAATAGGTGCTATTATCCTGGGTCAGGGTAGACCTGGGAACACCATCAATTAAGAGGTGGTTCCATGCTTCTCAAAACCTCCTGATCAGAGACCTTGCTGCTGGATGTAGTTTAACGTCTTACCCAGGACATGGATGCCAAAGGATGCCAAAGGAAAGCTTGAAGAAAAGATTAACTATCAAGTGTAAGAAGTCAAAATGTATAGACAGCAGCAAGAAGATGGAAGTTTTGGGTTAGAGCTGTGAAAAAGAAACCAGTGCAGGAATTTCAAGGCCTGGGAAATGTTTTAAAAAAATACTTTAGCTTTAGCCAACTTCTGGACACTGTCTGTTGCCTTAGACGATGGATGTTGATAATTATTTTGGCCTTTTTCTCCTTAAAAATTAAAATAATCTTCTCATGACAGTTACAATTAAAAGAATCAGCGTCTTGTCTCACGATTCTTTCTTGTGGAGCTCTCGTTCAGCTTCTCGCTTTCCAGTCAACTTTGATCTTCAAAGATTTAATCATCAATTACAGTCTCCTGTCTCATTGAACAGAGTTCAAGGAGACAGGCTCCCCACAATTTCCTTTCCAGCACTTAGTAAAATCTTAATCCCTATTGTGCTAACCATATACACAAGCTTGTTCTTCTTCATTACATAGGGGATCATGGCTCTCCGCAATTTCCTGCCCTTGGTAGCTCTTTGAAATATTTACATCCTAATCACTGTTCTTCCAACCATTTATACAAACACATTAGTTGGGTTATTTTCTGCTTTCTTCTGCCCCTCTAACTTTTAATATGTCCTGTGAGTGTTACAATCTCTAAGCCCTCTTTCCTCATTATATCATGTTTAGTTTATGATATTCTCAGCATCTTTCTGTAGAGCCACAATTCTGTTACCTCAAGTCTATTTCTCATTTATCATTTTATGTTATTTATTTTTTATATTTAATCCACCCATGTGTGTTATTTAATGCTGAAACTTATTTTGTATTTTAAGAATAGTTCTTTTTTTTTTAATTGATAGATTGATTCATTCATTTTCTATGGTTTATCGACTCTTTGCAGGTTATTTAAAGCCAGAATTTTTTTTTTGAGAAGCAATCTTGGAGAGTTTAGTCAAAGGGAAATAACTGAGGCATCTGGAAGAGGCATGGCATGTAGAACTAGAACAATCTACCCCAGTGGATGAAATAAAGAGCTCAATTTGAAATTCCAATCAACTGAAGAAGGCCAGAGTGTACAATGGTCGAAATGTCATGAATATGACAATAAATATAAGAACAACAGTCCGAACAATGTAAATAATTTCACATGACATCAAACAAAAGGTTAAGAAGGAAAGTCGGATTGATACTGGATTGATATCAGCGAGAAACATTTTTTAAATACATAAGTAATATTTTAATTTTTAAATATGTAATATATGCAATAATCTAATATATGTAAATAAAAATAATATTTACTTGATGGTGGTAAAAATAAGTAATATTTAATATATCCCTATCTATAAAAGGCAGGATGTGTGTGTGTGTGTGTGTGTGTGTGTGTGTGTGTGTGTGTGTAACAGATGCACGGCTGGAATTTCAATGGATTTGCACCAAAATTTACATGCACATGCTCCAAATTAGTGACAAGGCCAAGACCAACTTTGCATTTCCCAACTCTCATCGATAGTGGAAATAATCGATTTTTTCATGCTTCTACGGCAGTTTTCATGTAGTTTGCGACCATTTTCTACTGGCCAGAGTGACAGCCTATAGCTGGCTGCCATGAATAGGCAGGAAGATTCTACTGGCCAGCCGTGAGAGCCAACAGCTGACTGATACGAATGTTAACTCAGCATGCTAGCATGCAAAAAAAAATCAATAGCTGCATTCGTCACAAGTGGGAAAAATTTAAATCTGGCATGGCACTTTACTCCAATTGGTTCATTCGCTTGTTTAAACTGAACGTTGATTTTGATTCCGAGAGAACTGGGTTGGGTGTGAAAAGTATTTGTTGTTAACATTCTTTTCATTCGGTTTTTCCAGTTACGAGTCCTTTTTAAAGCTGATCATTTTGTTTTCATTTTGTTTAGTTTATTTTTCGTAACAGATTTAATGTTTAGTATAGAGCTTAGAAAAAAATTCGCCAGTGAGATGGGCAAGAAGTAAAGGGCATGTGGCAACATCAGCACGGCAAAGGGCACCCTTTAAAGGCAAGTAAGGGTAAAAATATTTTAAGTCAAATGATAGCGATTGCTGTATGAGTCATACGGTTTTTGAATCAAGCACGGGCAACGCCGTGCCATGCTGCTAGTCTTAAAAATAAAACCATATTTAATTGAGTAACTCATTGATTTTGTTTTTAAGGTTTATCAACCTTTTATAGGTTATTTAAAGAAAGAAACTATTTTTAAACTGAAATGATTTTTTGTCAGGGGATAATAATGATTTCATAAGACAAGTTTTACTAATTAACCCATAGCTGGGAGGAGAAGAGGTAGATTTATAACTTTCCCTAGTGTATTTATGTGTAAGTGAATATAATGAACTCAACTAGAATTGGGACTTGGCTCTTCAATTAACAAATTTAGAGCCATTATCCATTACACCACCTGCAAATCCAAGCATACAGCACCTGCTGTTCCGTCATGGTCACCCATCAATTTACTCAACAGGTTCAACACTGCTTAACTTTGGTGTTCATATCTATTTATCTATCTCAGTCTCATCATATCTATCTATCTATCTATCTATCTATCTATCTATTTCAGTCTACTCATTATCTGTCTATTTTAAATGAAAATATTAATCTCTCTCTCTCTCTCTCTCTCTATCTATCTATCTCAGTCTGCTCATATCTATATATCTATTTTAAATGAAAATGTTAATATCTATCTATCTCAGTCTACTTATAATCTTTCTATCTATCTATTTTAAATGAAAATATTAATATCTATCTATCTATCTATCTATCTATCTATCTATCTATCTCAGTCTACTCACTATCTATCTATCTATCTATCTATCTATCTATCTCAGTCTACTCATTATCTATCTATTTTAAATGAAAATATTAATGTCTATCAATCTCAGTTTGCTCATATCTATATATCTATTTTAAATGAAAATGTTAATATCTATCTATCTATCTATCTATCTATCTATCTATCTCAGTCTACTTATAATCATTCTATCTATCTATCTATTTTAAATGAAAATATTAATCACTATCTATCTATCTATCTATCTATTTTAAATGAAAATATTAATCTCTATCTATCTATCAATCTATTTATCTATCTATCTCAGTCGACTCATTATCTATCTGTCTATCTATCTATCTATCTATTTATGTCTGCTCATATCTATCTATTAAAGGTGTTTCAATGTAATGTGGCCATTAAACCCAGATACTTGAGAATAAAGGAATATATACATTGTTAATAAAAATAAAACTTGTATCGAATTCACATTAATAGTATTTTAAGAAGTACTATTTCAATAAATAGAATTAAAATTTAGTTTCTAAAACATAGATTATTAGTTTAGATTTGATATTAAGATTTTTTAAATAGATTTTAAATTTAATATTGCTAGTTTCATATAATAGAAACTATTTATTTTAAGTAAAAATATTAATTAATTACTATCAATGAAATATGGTTTTATAGGCAAACAGAAAAGAAAAGTATGATATATTCAACTTTTATACTATATTAAATAAAAGGTTAAAAAGTAAACTGCCATCAATACTGAAAAGAGCTATAACAGCATGAGAGGAAGGGGTTTCCAATGTCAGGCAGTACGAGGAAAGAAATTGTTGAAGTAGAAGTTGCGGTTATATTTAACTATCTCATCAGTAAAAGGGTGGGACATAGATGACAATCTAGTAACACGCTTAAATTCATGTAATCGAAGCACCAGGGAAAAAAAGCTCATCAGAGTAGTTGGCATGAAAATATTTGTGGAAAAGACAGAGGGAAGCCACATCACTTCTGTGAGAATGTGACTGAAGACGAGATGACAAGCCAGGACTGATTACACTATACAATTACACTACAAATCCTTCTTTGGATTGTGTTGAGAACCTCAAGATGAAGACCAGTGACTCCAGACCAGATATGGCAACAGTATTCAATTCAAGGAGATATGCATATATATATATATATATATATATATATATATATAATAAAAAGGCTTAAACAGTAATATTAGTGTTTAAGCCTTTTTATTATATCCTTACTCTGTCTTGGACATTGAGTTCTACCTGGATTCTATTCTCTTGAAATTTTTTTTGTACATATATATATATATGCATGTGTATGTATGTATGTATATATATTTATATATTTTAGATATATGATTGCATATGTATGTGTATCTTAACCACTAATATTATCAATATCTATCTATCTATCTATCTATCTATCTATTCTATCATATATATATATATATATATATATATATATATTATGCAGTGTTACATTAGAACATGCACTACCTGATGAAAAGCTAAAAAATTTTTTTAATGTTGAAACAAGATGTACAGATTTGTAGTGTGTATGTGCATGTTCTAATGTAACACTGCATAATAAATAAATATTTATTGCTCTACTTTTGTATTAAGCCCTGTTTTAAATTAATATTTTGAACGCTGAAATCTTACTTTCGTTCTTTTACCTTTATATATATATATATATATATATATATATATATATATATATATATGTAAATATGTGGTGCAACTTCTGGGATAATAGCTGTGACATTCTTGTATTTATTGAACAATTTAGTTCATGCCACATTGACTGAAAAAAAAACTTCTACAACAAAAGAATTCTCCAATTAATATATTAGTAAAAAGAACGCATTCTCTTTTAAATTTTCAAAAAATTCAAACTTAGCTTAGAATTTCTTTCAGTAAACCATAACACACATCTAAAAAACATATTTCAATTCACATCTAATCTTTTGTGTCCCGTTATTACCTGGATGAATTTTAAAAAAATAAATAAATCAATTTCCATGCCTGAATGAACAGATGAAAGTACTAGCAAAAAAAGACCTTATACAAGTTGAATTTATTAAAAACAGGGATCACAACATTCATCTAGAGGTTCGTGGGTTAATGTAATTTTTAATAAATTGGTTTGCAAAGATGTATTCTCACCACTTATATCATTAACTTCACTAATCTGTTTTTGTCCGAATGATTCATGTAATATATATATATATATATATATATATATATATATATATATATATATATAAAAAAAAGGCTTAAACACTAATATTCCATGGTCATAATTTATTCCATTGGAATCGTAAATACGATCCAAATCATCAGACCTACAAATTCAAAAAATGAAAACAGAAAAACAACCCGAAATCAAAACAGAATTTAGAGAAAGTGTAAGTATGAGGAGGAGTGACATGAAACCTTAACAGAGAGAATTTTTGGAGATGTGGGTGGGGTGTGGATTTAAAAAGAGGAGAAAAGAAAGTCGACGAATGTCTAATACATAAAGATACATTTCGTGGTGACATATACACACCACAGACAATTCGATAGGAAGGAAAAAAAAAAAAAAAAAGGGTGGGGAGAGAAATGGGACGAAGGAAAATAAAATTGTGTTTACTTAAAGGGCCGCTTTGTAATTGGGAAAATTAGTATACTACAGGTTATAAATCAAATATAAATATATGAAGATGAATATAACGATTGTCTCATTTCGCAAGGACCAAATATTTCTATGTTCAAAAACACATACTAATACACACAAAAAAATATATATATATATATATATATATATATATATATATATATAAAGACATTTTTATGTTTATATATTCTTTTATAAAATGTCTTAAATAATTGTCGGACTTTGTCCATTTCATAATATATATATATATATATATATATATATATATATATATATATATATATATATATGCTATATCACATATGCAGGCAGTGTGAAAACAGACCAAGAATCAGTTTTCTTTTTTCTTTTTTGTATAACTTAGATTCTGAAAATGTTTGGCAAAACCTGGGCATAATTTCCACAATTAATATTTCCTTTTTCAAGTACTACCTAAAATAGTGCACTGAAGCAGTGGCCTCTCTATTTGAAAAGCCAGTATTAATGCATGAATTTTTATGAACTATTTTCAATATTTCCCAATTTATTTTGCAAACGGAATCAGATTCTAAAAACAAAATAACATAAATTATTTCACAAAAGCAAGGTTTTATATTTGTCATACCAAAAAATAAAAATGAGCAAACTGTAAATTGACAAAAGAGAAAACCTATTTTAATTTTAGAATCCAACGGAAATAATTTTCAAACGACGCACATACATATAAATATGTAAATTAATAAGTGCATAAAATATACATATTTTAAAATGTTGATATCACTGCATAATATATATATATATATATATATATATATATATATATATATATGTGCAAACTGAGATGGAAAAATTGAAAAGGGTAATATGACCATACCTATACAGATAGATATGACTAGACCTAGGGAGACATGCAAAGAGACTTAGATAATTAAATTTGAACAGACCAAGATAGATAGATAGATAGATAGATAGATAAACGGAAAAATTATATAAAATTAAAGAAAGAAAGAAAAAGACATAGTGAGATAGGTAGGAATCGATAGATAGATAGATATGAAAACGTATATATATATATATATATATATATATATATATATATATATATATATATATATATATATATATATAAAATATAAATATAAAAGTGAACATTGAATTCAACACTTAGAGGCGACAGGCTGTTTTCATGCTATACGAAATTTACACATGTTCTATCTCTGATATTGAGCACTTTATCCGATAAATATAGCACGCTTCAAGAGTATATTTCTTCATATATATATATATATATATATATATATATATAATTATTTTTTTTAAAATATGATTCTATCACAGAGTTCTCATGTTTCAAAAACAGAGGCTAAAAACTTCAATTCCGTTATAGAAATTAAATTAAATTAAAGTACCTAGTTCTGTTTCATCCTCAAGTGAATTTTGGAATAAAAAAAATTTGAAATTTACAGAGCTTTATAAGCATAAACTTTCATAATATTAATTTCTATGGAAACAGAGAAAACAAGGCTCTCCTTATGCATTGAACACTGTTTTTAAAAATAAAACATAAATACTAAATAACTTATCACATTATTAACCTAACGGATCTTTCCTATTTTTCTATATATTTGCACACACACACACACACACACACACACATGCGCACGCGCACATAGACACACACAGTGTATCCATAAAGTTCGTGTGCACTTTAAAAAATTTGTGATAGAAATAATTTGTAAAAAGGATTAGAAAGAAGTAACTCTATATTTTTTAATGTTTTATTGAAATTTTGTTTAAAATTTATTATTATTATTTTAAAATTTTTTTTATTTTTCCACATGTTCTACATAATTAGCAATACAAAGTATAATACGATTTTGCAGTTCATGGAAAACATTTGCCAACTGATTTACAGTAATGCCTGAAATCAAATTAGTTATTTTAGCTATACTTAAAACTAGATACATTAAACTTTCTAACATTTTTTACAGATTATTTCTATCGCAAATAAAAATAAAGTTATAAATTTTTTAAAGTGCACACGAACTTTATGGACACCTTGTAGAGATATATACATATATATATATATATATATATATATATATATATATATATATGAAAAGGACAATGTCCAAGAATTATTTTAAGTCATTTTTCCCTCTCAGATATATATATATATATATATATATATATATATATATATATTATTATATTAGCAAACATAGAAACAAGAAAAAGTGTACTAAAACTATGACAGTGAGTGTTGGACGATCAACTCTAAGATGAAGAGGAGACTTGAAGCAACAGATATGTAGTTCTACAGGAGGATGGTGAGGATACCTTGGATTGAAACTGTGGCAATGATGAAGTTTTGAAGAAAAAGGAAACAAAAAAAGAACTAATACTTAAGAGACAGTTGGTGGTTTCTGTGGCATATAATGAGGAAGAAAGGCTTGGAAAATCTGATACTCATGAGACAGATAGTTGGAAAGAGGGCCAGAGAAAAACAATGCATGACATACGTAATGAGCTGGCACAATAGGGCTTAGGAGAAATGACAGAAACACAAAATTTATTAAGAGTTACAAGGGACAGGAATTTGTGGAGGGCCATGATCACCTACATCTTGAGGGGACAAGGCATATAAAGAAGAAGTACTAAATGTAGACAAAGATAAGATTACTGAAGTGTCACGCAATATCAGTCCTCCTAAATGGCAGTGAATGTTGGAAAATATCTTCACATGAAAAGTAGACTTCAGAAATGTGATTCTACAGGAGGATGCTGAGGATAGCATGGATT